CATCCGATTTTACAGACAAGGAAACTAAGTCTCATAGATATTGAATGACTTGTTCATGGTCACACAGCTGGTAGGCGATGGAGCCAAACATCAAAGTTTTCATGTTTTTCTCCAACTCATTATACAGAGAATGCCCTGTATCAGGCCTCTGGTTTGGGGTTTGCAGTGTACTAACCAAATTTCCCTCACCAAGCAAGGTCAGCTGCCTGAATTCAGATACTTCTATGACAGTCACCTCTGCTTTACCTCCCTCCCAGCAGTGTAGAGAGGATAAATACGATATTGTACATGTAAGCACTTTAAAACTTTTAGCATGCCATGCAAACATAAGGGATATTGCAGAATATGCAGATAACCTTGTTTATTTCAAGCTCCTTAGCCCACATGTGGAGATGTCCAGAGGTCAAATCCTCAAATCAAATATTGCTAACAGCACAATAATTTCTCCCATAAAATACCATAATGTGTCATTTAAAAATGTAACTAACTCTTGGCCGGGCACAGGCACTTTGGGAGGCTAAGGCAGGTGGATCACTTGAGGTTAGGAGTTTGAGACCAGCCCAGCCAACATGGTGAAACCCCATCTCTACTAAAATACAAAAATTACTTGGGCATGGTGGCGTGCACCTGTAATCCCAGCTACTTGGCAGGCTGAGGCAGAAGAATTGCTTGAACCTGGGAAGCGGAGGTTGTAGTGAGCCAAGATCGCACCACTGCACTCCAGCCTGGGCAACAGAGCGAGACTCCATCTCAACAACAAAAAGAACTAAATAACTCTTTAAAATGTTTAATGAATACGTAAACACAACACTTAAAGTCATTTATAATGATTTTTTAATATACAGAAACAGAGTATTGCTCTGTCATTCAGGCTGGTGTGCAGTGGTACAATCAGAGCTCACTGCAGCCTCAAACTCCTGAACTCAGCCCTCCCACCTCAGCTTCCCACCATTCCTGGCTTATTTATAAGGATTTCAAGTTACGTGTGAATGTTGTCTGGAGCATTTGCTGAAACTGTTTTGTGAATCCGTTTCTTCAAATTTCTTGAAACTGAATGAGCAATGAACCCTGCATGAACTGAATGAACCAGTCCACTCTTCAGGGGTTCAAAATTCCCTATATCTGCCACAGAAACATTGTTTTCTTTGGATTCTCCAATTTCTCCTCACTTCTATTTCAATACTAGTGTTGAACCTTTTACTTTTTTTTTTTTTTTTTTCCTTTTTGAGACAGAGTCTCGCTCTGTTGCCCAGGCTGGAGTGCAGTGGTGTGGTCTCAGCTTACTGCCACCTCAGCCTCCCGGGTTCAAGCAATTCTCATGCCTCATCCTCTCAAGTAACTGGAATTATAGTTACATGTTGGCCAGGTTGGTCTCAAACTCCTGTCTCAAACTCCTGGCCTCAAGTGATCCACCCACCTCAGCCTCCCAAAGTGCTAGGATTACAGGTGTGAGCTATCATGCCAGGCCTAGTATTTGGCCCCTTTTTTTTTTCTTGTTTTGAGACAGAGTTTCACTCTTGTCACCCAGGCTGGAGTGCAATGGTGTGATCTCAGCTCACTGCAACCTCCGCCTCCTGGGTTCAAGCAGTTCTCCTGTCTCAGCCTCCCGAGTAGCTGGGATTACAGGCACCCGCCACCATGCCTGGCTAATTTTTGTATTTTTTAGTAGAGATGAGTTTTTACCATGTTGGACAGGCTGGTCCTAAACTCCTGACCTCAGGTCATCTGCCTGCCTCAGCCTCCCAAAGGGCTGGGATTACAGGCATGAGACACCAAACCCAGCTGTATTTGGCCTCCTATGGGAGGTCATGTCCACAAACAAGCAAGACTTTCTAATCATTTTTCAAGGATTAAAAAGTCTTAACTCATAAGTAATACAAATTCATGCCATGATTTGTAGTATTTGTAGCAAATGACAAGTGATACATATTATGTTTATTCAAGGTCCCCAGGAAGTTGGTTTTTGTTTTGTTTTGTTTTGAAGCAGAGTCTTGCTCTGTTGCCTAGGCTGGAGTACAATGGTATGATCATAGCTTACTGCAACTTTGACCTCCTGGGCTCAAGTGATCCTCCCACCTCAGCCTCCCAAAGTGCTGGGATTGTAGATGTGAGCCACTCTGCCCAGCCTTCCAGGGAGTTTAGATATGTGACTCAGCAAAAAGAACCAATCTGGAGGTATCACATTATGTGACTTCAAACTATTCTATGAGGCTATAGTTACCCAAATAGCATGATACTAGTATAAAAGTAGGCACCTAGACCAATGGAACAGAATAGAGAACCCAGAAATAAAGCCAAATACAGCCAACTGATCTTCAACAAAGCACACTAAAACATAAAATGGGGAAAGGACAGCCTATTCAACAAATAGTGCTGAGATAATTGGCAAGTCACATGTAGCAGAATTAAATTAGATCATCATCTCTCACCTTATACAAAAATCAGCTCAGCATAGATCAAAGACTTGAATCTACCACCTGAAACCATAAACATTCTAGACAATAACATCAGAAAAACCCTTCTAGACATTGGCTTAGGCAAAAACTTCATGATCAAGAACCCAAAAGCAAATGCAACAAAAACAAAGATAAATAGATGGGACTTAATTAAACTAAAAAGCTTTTGCACAGCAAAAGAAATAATCGGCCGAGTTAACAGACACCACACAGAGTGGGAGAAAAAATCTTCACAGTCCGTACATCTGACAAAGGACTAGTATCCAGAATCTAGGAAGAACTCAAGGAAATCAGCAAGAAAACAAATAATCTCATCAAAAAGTGGGCTAAGGACATGAATAAACAATTCTCAAAAGAAGATATACAAATGGCCAAGACGCGTATGGAAAAAATGTTCGACATCACTAATTATCAGGGAAATGCAAATCAAAATCACAATACAATACCACTTCACTCCTGCAAGAATGGCCATAATAAAAAAAATTTAAAAAAAAAATAGATGTTGGTATGGATGTGGTGAAAAGGAACACTTTTTTTTTTTAAGTTTCGCTCTTGTTGCCCAGGCTGGAATGCAATGGTGTGATCTCAGCTCACTGTAAATTCCACCTCCCTCACCCGCCTTGGCCTCCCAGAATGCTGGGATTATAGGCATGAGCCACTGCACCTGGCTGGGAAGACTTTTACACTGTTGGTGAGAATGTAAACTAGTACAACCACCATGGAAAACAAAGTGGAGATTTCTTAAAGAACTAAAAGTAGATCTGCCATTTGATCCAGCAATCCCACTACTAGATTTCTACCCAGAGGATAAGAAGTCGTTATATGAAAAAGATACTTGCACACACATGTTTATAGTAGCACAGTTTGCAATTGCAAAAAGATGGAACCAGCCCAAATAACCAACAATCAATGAGTGGAAAAAGAAAATTCTGTTACATATAGAGAGACCATAGAATACTATTCAGTCATAAAAAGGAATGAAATAATGGCATTCACAGCAACCTGGATGGAATTGGAGACCATTATTCTAAATGAAGTTACTTGGGAATGAAAAACCAAACATCCTATGTTCTCACTCATAAGTGGGAGCTAAGCTATGAGAACACAAAGACATAAGAATGATACATTGGACTTAAGGGACTCCGGAAAAGGTCAGGGGTGGCCACAGAGAAAAGACTACATATTGGTTTCAGTGTACACTGCTCAGGTGATGGGTGCACCTAAGTCGCAGAAATCACCACTAAAGATCTTTTTCATGTAACCAAACACCATCTGTTCCCCAAAAACCTATTGAAATAAACAAATAAAAATAAATCTTTGAATACCGTGATTCTATGGCAAAAAGCAAGTGTTTAGTAAGAAGTATTTCATCTCCACTTTGCCCAGTGATTAGAGCAGTCTGGCCCCCTAATATGTAAGTTTCTTGATGCAAAGTTTGCAGCTTTTCCGTCTTCAGATTCCTCTCCAGAAATCCCCTATGACTGAAGTTTTAATGATTACGCAAAAATTATGTATATAATTGAATGGAATCACATTCACTAATCACTTTTTCTATTGAGTGTTGCCCTTGCTAGTTAGAAGGAGGATACAGTAAAAGAGCAGAATTCTGGTTGGCCCTTGGGTGATGTTGTTTTTCTGCTAGTCTTCATTTTATCCACCTGTAGATGGTGGCATGGGAACTTGGGGCAGGATAATTCTTAAAACCATGATTCTTCAATCTGGCCAATCAGTTGGAGCTCTTAAGGGCTCCTTCTAGGAGATTCTGATTCAGTAGATATGGGATAGTCAAGAATGTGTAATCAGGTGATCTTTATCAAGAGCTGATTTTGGGCTGGCTCACATGCTGTTTTGCAAGTTCATGTTTTCAGTTTATATCTTCATGACGATTTGAGCAATGCCAAGCCTGACCAATGTCGTTATTAACACCCCTGTTTTACAGGTGAGGAAACTGAAGCTAGGAACATCAAAAAGATGGGGAAAGCTGCTAAAAAAGTTAAGCAACTAGTACAACTAGTAACTGGTTGACTCAGGCCCAGCAACTCCAGACCCCACTACCTCAATCACTGGGCGGCATAAGACTTTTGGGGCAGCTTCTGGTGATTTCGGTGATTAGTTAGCTTTTGGGAAAGCCTCCTAGAGGCCCATGCAACTATCAAAGGGTGCATGTGATTGAAATTTGTGGCCCATCCCCCTCCAGTGTTTCTGGAAGACCATCGGAGAGAACCCGACGAACAGCTGAACCTCTTATCAGTATTTCCCAGCCTTCGGGGAACTCCGCGAGGTCCTGGTCTCACAGGCGGACCCAATCTGGAGACCAAGCGAGACTCTTTTTGTACACCTGGCACTTCTGGTCACGCCCTGTTCCGCGAACGCCCAATCCCACCCCAGTTGGCCATGATTGACGTCCACTCAGAGCAATTATAATCGACCATGGCGGACGGCCGCTCCGCCTCCCGGGAGACCCCACCTCCCTTTCATTCTGAAAGAAAGAACTTCGGCCTGGGCATCCAATGAGAAGCGCCTTCACCTTAAAGATCCCGCCTCTTTCGGCGTCGACCCCGCCCCGAGGCCGGAAAGGCCGCCCGCCTCCCTTGGCAGGATAAGCCAATCGGAGGACTCTCATGGCCGGATGAACGGCAGCCGGCCCAATCCGTCGGGCCTCACGCGGCGCCGCCCCGCCCCTCCGCCGGGCCCGAGTGGCGGCCGGGCGACGAGTACGGGCCTCGGAGCAACTGCAACGGCGGCGGTGGCGGACGCGGCCTGAGGCGACCGGCGGGGCGTGGGGCGGCGCCTCGGCCCGGGCTCGCCCTCGCCGGCGGGAGCGTCCATGGCCCCCGGGCGCCGGCGGGGCGCGGCCGCGGCCTGAGGGGCCATGTCCGGGGTGGTGCGGACCCTCAGCCGCTGCCTGCTGCCGGCCGAGGCCGGCGGGGCTCGCGAGCGCAGGGCCGGCGGCGCGCGCGACGCGGAGCGAGAGGCCCGGAGGCGCAGCCGCGACATCGACGCGCTGCTGGCCCGCGAGCGGCGCGCGGTGCGGCGCCTGGTGAAAATCCTGCTGCTGGGCGCTGGCGAGAGCGGCAAGTCCACGTTCCTCAAGCAGATGCGCATCATCCACGGCCGCGAGTTCGATCAGAAGGCGCTGCTGGAGTTCCGCGACACCATCTTCGACAACATTCTCAAGGTGACGCGCCCCCACCCCCCAGCACCTGCACCCAGGTGTGCCGGGGCGCTAACCCCCGCCCGGGCCCCTCGGTGGTCCGGGCCGCCGCCCGGGCGGGGACCCCCGGGGCGAGGATGCTGGATCCAGCTCTGCCTGCACCCTACTCCCCCACCCATTCCCCGGGGCTGCTGGCGTCGCCTCTGCCTCTCCCCCACCCCCACCCCCAGCCTTTTTTGAGATGGGGGTCTCTCCCTGTGTTGCCTAGGCTGGAGTGCAGTGGCATGATCACAGCTCTTTGCAGCTTCGACCTCCTGGGCCCAAGACCTCCTCAGCCTCCCATAGTAATGGGATTACGGTCGAGCACCAGCAGCCCAGCTAATTTTTAAGTTTTTTTTGTAGAAATGGGGTCTTGCTGTGTTGCCCAGGTTGGTGTCAGTCTCCTGGCCTCAAGTGATCCTCCTGCCTTGGCCTCCCCCAAGTGCTGAGATTACAGGCATGAGTCATGGCGCGCGGCCTACCTCTGCCCTCTCTAGGGTGCCTGTGCACTGCGGGAGCGGGAACTCGGGCCAGCTTCTGGGATTGGGGTGTGGGGGGCTTTGCACTTAGCCCTCTCCTGGATGTGCCCTAGCAGAATGGCGTCTGCCCGTTTCTCACTGGAAGCCTCCTGGGGTAGGAGTGCAGCTTGCCCTGCCCTCCAGCTGAGCTTCGAATAAGAGCAGTGGAGACTGGACGGGGAACCAGTTACTTTTTTGTTGTTTTTAAGAAAGGCTCTCACTGTTGCCCAGGCGGGTCTCAAGCTCATGGGCTCAAGCGATGCTCCCACCTCAGCCTCCCAAAGTGCTGAGATAACAGGTGTGAGCCAGTTTCTAGTAGGAAAACTTCAAACATTTGCAAAAGTAGAGAAAATAGTAGAATGACTGAAGTACCCACCCCCCAACTAAAGCAGTTATCAATTCTGTGCCAATCCTATTCACCTGTGCCCTCCCCCGTGGTCTCCAAGCAAATCCAACTTTGTGTAATTGCATCAGGAAACTGCAGTACCATTAGCAAACCAAAAATTAGGAATAGCTTAATATCACCGGATATCCAGTGTTCAGAATTCCTCCACTGTGGACTAATTGTTTTGTTTGAATCCATATAGATTGTAATCTCCAGATTCTCCTTGTATCTCTTGCTTCCTTTTTTCTCTTTGCCATATTTGTGAAAGAAACTGTAGAAGTCAGCCAGGTGTCATGGCTCATGCCTATAATCCCTGCACTTTGGGAAGCTGAGGCAGGAGGATCACTTGAGGCCAGAAGTTTGAGACCAGCCTGGGCAACAGAGTGAGACCCCAGTGCCACAAAAATGAACACATTAATTGGGGATGGTGGAGTGCACCTGTAGTCCCAGCTACTTGAGAGCTGAGATAGGAGAATCGCTTGAGCCTGGAAGGTCAAGGCTACAGTGAGCCATGTTTGGGCCACTGCACTCCAGCCTGAGTGACAGTGAAAAAATAAAGAACTATAGCATTGATAAAGTCAGGGTTCTAGCCTCTGAGTACTGTCAGCCTGTGTTAAAGGGCCCCAAAGAAGGAATTCTGGAGAAAACAGATGATGAGGGAATAGTGCAACCTTGCTTACACCTAAATAGTGTCTTTTCTTCTCCTTCCCTCCCTTTTTCCTTCCTCCCTTCCTTTCTTCCTTCCTTCTTCCTTTCCTTCCTTCCTTCCTTTTCTTCCTTCCCTTTCCCTCCCTACCTCCCTTCCTTTTCTTCCTTCCTTCTTTCCTTTTCTTCCTTCCCTTTCTTCTTTCCCTTTCTTTCTTCCCTTCTTTTCTTCCTTCCCTTTCTTCCATTTTTTTTCTTTCTCCCCTTCTTCTCTACCCTTTCCTTATCCCCTCACCACTTTTTTCCCAAGCCCAAGTTAGAGGCAAAGAAAATTATCTCAAAGCAGAGGTGAAGAGAAGTTTGCCATGCCAGAAAAGTTACCTGGAGACTAGGTTTTCTGGTGCCTGGGAGATTTTAAATTTAGCAAAGCCCTGTGGAAACCTATTCGGTACGTTTCTCTCACTTCATCCATAAGGACCCCTGCCTCAGCCCTAGAGATGAAGTGACTCCTTACTGGGTCTCTATGCTGGAGTCCAGACTTTGAGGCCAGTATTCCCACTTGACGGATTCTCATGGAAATATTTCATTTTAATAGAAATAGCTCCTTTAGGATTATGAAGGGAAGAAAATAATTTGATAAAACCCCCTTTTTCATATTACCTCTTTGCAAAGCCTTGGTAAGTCAGAGCTCTGGTCAGATACTTCCTGAACTTGAAAGACTAGGTGCCCAGTGTAGCTCACAGGGATCGATTGTTTAAAAATTCCCCACAGCGTCTGTGACAAAGTGCGTTTGGTTGTCTCAGGTCCTGCCCTTTAACTTCTCTCTTAAATATCCTGATTTTATTTTTGCTGATTGCCCAGACCTCAAACCAAGCAAGCATAAAAGTGTAGCAGTTTGGCTATCTCTAATTTCTTTCAACTCAGGAGGTGGAGAAAGTATTTAGAAACACAGAATCTTCATTCTAAATCAGTATATGAAGTGTGTTTTAGAAAACTCAACCTGGTCGGGTGTGGTGGCTCATGCCTGTAATCCCAGCCTTGGTCAGGAGTTCAAGACCAGCCTGGCCAACATGATGAAACCCCGTCTCTACTAAAAATGCAAAAAATTAGCTGGGCGTGGTGGCGGGCACCTGTAATCCCAGCTACTTGGGAGGCTGAGGCTGGAGAATCGCTTAAACTTGGGAGGTGGATGTTCCAGTGAGCCGAGATCTCGCCACTGCATTCCAGTCGGGGCAACAGTGGGAGATTCCATCTCAAAAAAAAAAAAAAATTCAACCGTAACCTTCTCCTGATGCTTAGAAAGATTAACTTTCACTGACTTTCTTATCAACAGAAACTGTGTTAACTAGTATCCTATCTTCCTTTCCAACTTCATTTTTTTACTGATTATAGTTCCACATTAAGCTCACTTCATCTGTTGTGACCATTTCAAAAACAAGTTAGAAATTCATCTTTCAAAAATCCTTTCCTCCTCTTCACCCCCCACCCACGCATTTTTATTTGAGCAGATCACTTTGGAAAGAGACTATTTTATTTTTTAATTTTTATTTTTTGAGACAGGGTCTCATTCTGTCATCCAGGCTGGAGTACAGTGGCATGATCATGGCTCACTGTGGTCTTGCCTCGTGGACTCAAGCAATCTTCCCTCCTCAGCCTCCTGAGTGGCTGGGACTGCAGGTGTGCACCACCACACCCGGCTAATTTTTGTAGAGATGGGGGTCTTACTAGGTTGCCCAGGCTGGTCTTAAGCTCTTGGACTCAAGCAATCCATCTGCCTCAGCCTACCAAAGTGCTGGGATTACAGGTGTGAATCCCTACACCCAGCCAGGGAAGAGACTTTAAATAGATTGCTCTGCAGTGGTTTTAGTACTGGACATTTGAATGATGCTGTTGAGAATAATATTTGTGTCTATGTAGAGGTTTAGTGTTGACAGGCCCGTTTTAAAACACCGACTGTGTGTTATGCACACTGTGCCTGACCCTTTCAGATAGGTGTTTAATTTTCATACTGCTTCAGATGGTATTACCTCATTTAGTGAATGAGAAAATTGAGAATAGAGAGTTTAAAATCTCTTCAAGGTCAGCTACCTAGTTAGAAGATGGCAGAGCTAGGAACTAAACATGCTTTTTTAAAAAATTAAACTTTTGGATTTTGAGATAATTATAGGGTCCTATGCAGTTCCAAGAAATACTAGAGATCCCATGTACCCTCTGCCAGCTTTCTCTCAATGGTAATGTCCTGCGAACTGTAGCACAATCTTACAACCAGGATATTGATGTCAGTGCAGTCAAGATACAGAGCATTTCCATCAGAAGGTTCCCTCAAGCTGCTCTTTTGTAGCCACTCTCTCCCCTCCTGTCCCAGATCCTGGCAATGAATATTCTTTAATTCTATAATTTTGTCATTTTAAGAATGTTACATGGCCCGACACAATGGCTCATGCCTGTAATCCCAGCACTTTGGGAGGCCAAGGCAGCAGATTGTTTGAGCCCAGTAGTTCAAGACCAACCTGGGCAGCATGGTGAAACCCCGTCTCTACAAAAAATCCAAAAATTGGCCAGGTGCGGTGGCAGGCGCCTGTAATCCCAGCTACTCAGGAAGCTGAGGCAAGAGAATCACTTGAACCTAGGAGGCTGAGATTGCAGTGAGCAGAGATTGTGCCACTGCACTCCAGCCTGGGCGACAGAGCAAGACTCCATTTCACAAACAAAAAATTAGCCAGCTGTGGTGGTGCACACTTGAACCTGGGAGGCAGAGGTTGCAGTGAGCCCACATTGTGCCACTGCACTTCAGCGTGGGCGGCAGAGTGAGACCCCTCCTCAAAAAGAAAAAGAAAAGATTTTCCTCTTATCTTTCTTTTGTTGATTTCTGGTTTGACTTCACAATGGACAGAGATATACTGTGTATGATTTTACTACTTTTAAATTTGTCGGTTTGTTCTGTGGCCCAGGATATAGTCTTTTTGGCAGATGTTCTGTGGTCTTGTGTTGATGAATGTTCCATAAGTACATGAAAAACGCGTATTCTCTTGTTTGGTGGAACGTTCCACGTATGTTGGATCTTGTTGATTGATAGTGGTGTTGAATTCTGTATCTTTGCTGATTGTTAGTAGTTACGTCAGTTAAGAGTCCTCAACTATAATTGTGGATTTGTCTATTTCTCCTTGAGCTCTATCAGTTTTTGCTTCATATATTTTGAGGTTCTGTTGTGTGGTGCATAAATGTTTAGGGTTATTATATCATCTTGATAGATTAACCTTTTTTATTGTGTAATGTCCTTTTCTTTCCAGCAATTTTCTTTGCTCTGAAGTCTCCTTTATCAGATGTTTTAATACAGCCACTTCTGTTTTTATTAATGCTTTCATAGTATATATTTTTCCATTCTTTTAATACCCTTGTTTTGAAGTGAGTTTCATGTAGACAGCATATTGTCGCAT